CGAGACGAAATGGTGGTCGGCGGCGAACTGGTCGACCTTGGCGGGTCCGAGCATATTGCTGATGAAGGCGAGGAGGAGGAGTCCCGTCGCGATGGAGGCGGCGGCGGCGAGCGCCATAAGCGCATATCGGCGCAACTTCGACGCGGTGTACGTCTGCCTCTTGAAGAAAGACCGCGGTAACCACGACTCCTCGACGAGGTGCGACTTGTACCGCGGCAGCTCGGGACGTTTTGGTGTCGGCACTTGCGATGGAGATGGAGGCGGGGGCGCCTGAGGCTGGGCGGCACCATAAGGCAAGGCGGGGGCGGAGGCACGGCGAATAGACATCGTGTGAGGGTGGCTGAGGGGAGATGCTGTGAGCAATATTGATCAACGATCCTCCCCCAAGTTATACATGTGGAGCTGCTCGTAGGGTGCGCTGCAAGATCCTGATCGAGCTTCGATGCTCAGACTCGACTGCAATCTCCCGCCGCGGGTATCGCAATTCGCACCACCGCCGAGAGTATCGTTTCGGAACGCGATCGCTCCTATAGTTATTCGGCAGAGACGTATTCAGGAGAACATTGCGTCATCTGTGACAATTACCTGGAGTTGTATGTCGTGCCGCCTTCGACTCGTAGGCGTCGTCCTTTTATTAAGTACGCGCGATGGACAAGGGCACATTGTTTATCGCAAAGCTCGCCATCATCAGGTAGTCTTAGACTCTCCTGAGAAGCTTAACATAGCACAGGCGGTGGTAAGTCCGAGCAGCTTGCTTCATTCTCCTGAACTCGGAGCACCGATGTAGCGCATACCAACAACGAGAACGATCCGATTGAAAGGGACGAGCGTAAGCATGCCATATGCCGGAGGATCATGGACCACAGCAGCCATACCGAGTGAACGAAAGCGGAATACAGCAGACAGCACCAGCGAGCTGCACTGCACGCTCAGGCAGACTGCACCAGAGCCTTCCACGTCAATACTGGTACTGGTCTGGCTGAACTCTCTATTAAGAGGCACTGTCTTCTGAACATAGCGTTTTGTGCCGTACACAAGGTCGCTGATATTGTGTATGAAGTCGAATCGGCGGCGCGAGGAAGGAGGTGAAGGTCGGATGAAGTAATCGAAGTCCGCCTTTCCTGCTTGTTCTCCTATCCTCACTCGCGCGCCGGGCTTGCTAGGCCGCACAGCGAGCTCGTGTATAGCCCAGCATGCCTGTGTACTGCTACTCAGACATTACATAGCGATTGGAGAAATTCCTGGCAGCTCAACCTCCTTCGACGTCTTCTCGAGGAATTCCGCGTCGTGTCCAACGTGATCTGCGCGTGGATACACGATGTCATACGCAGCTTGCTACACTTGCTGTCATCCTGCTTCACGTCCATTGGCTAGTCCTGGGTTCCAGTGATCTCGGGGTTGCGGTGGTGCGTCTTTGGATATCCTTGGTTTCGACTCAACCTCATCCCGTTGCAGACGCGAAAAAGATTGAGCGCCGAATAGCGCCCTAACCTTGAAAGTCTTGAGGTGATGTTCAATCTTTCTTCGGCAGTGGCGGAGCCTACAGGATGCCGCGCCTAATGCTTGGTTGGGTTCGGGCACGACTGCATCATGGAATCATCGCGAAGCCATCCTCTTGCACTACGGCTTTGGTGCGCTGCTGGTTGTTGCGTCGTCGATGCACGCGAAGGTACCGGTGACCTGTGCACTCCAGCCTCAAGGTAGCGGCGTGGTCTACGTGAGTGATGAGCAGCCATGCCCCCTGCTTTGTTCGGAACTCGCATTCTAACATCATTAGCAGTATTTGGGCTCTCAACACCGAGTCGGAACGTACAAGTTATGCCAATGTCTGCCTTCGTACTGACCGTCGCATGCTGTAGTACAGGTCTACTGAACTCACAGGAGTACCCAGACGGCGGATCGACCTGGCGCTTGTCCGACTCAAGCGCAGAACACGTCTCCATTTCTCCCAGTCGCAGGCGTCACTCTTCTATCTCACATATACCCTCATTACCAACGTCTAAGCGATTCTAAGCCCTGTTCATCTACGCCCCATCCTATCGTCCTATCGTACATTTCAAATCACAGAACTTTCTCGTCGCCCACCATTCCACAACCTTCTTCTTCTCCTCTTCACGCAATATTGCTTGGATGCTGGCGCACGATGTGGCGAAGCAATTTCGCATAGCTGTACACGTCGCGCGATGAGTTGCAGAGGGGACAGCTGTACTCTACCCCCTCGGCGTCACGGTACTCACCATAATCGCGCAACAACTGCGCAGCCTTGTACGGTTGCGACCCCGTCTTGAATCTCCTCCCCGATAATGCCGCGAGCTGCTGCGCCGGTGACGGCATTGGCAGGCGTCTCGAGACGCCTGCCAAGTTGACTCCCTGCGACTGCGAGGGAGATAGATATGTGTTCTCCTCTTGAGCGGAGTGGCCGCCCAAGGGAATCGTCGCCGCGGCTGGTGTACGACCACCCACGTTCGGCTGCGCCGCCAGTGGATGCATGTTCCGCACATGACTACTAAAGGATTCGTACGAGTGGAAGACGTACTTCACCGGACAGTTCGGGAACGGGCAGCGTCCTGGTTGATCTGCAACAAGGTGAGTACGAGGAGGCGTCAGCTAAAGAGAATATGCTCAAGGCGCGCGACGTACAGGAGCCCAACGGGGCCGTCGAGGGTGTTGGATGTTGGCGCGCGCCGCCCCGCGATGTACCCGCCTGGGACGGCGAGTGGACGTTCCTCGAAGACTGGACGCTCGGTGCGCGGGATGGTGCGCGCGAAGGTGCACGAGATGGCGGCGGCGGCATCGCGACTGGCGCGACCATCGACGGCTGACGATCACCGTATCCGCCGCGCACGAGTCCAGGAGCAACCATACCTGGCTGCCAATAGTATGGCGACATCTGATTATGTGGAACAGAAGGGGGGAGGACAGCTGTTCCTGGCTGCAGCTGCCACATCGGCGAAGGCGTCGCGTACTGCACTGGGGCTGGCGGTGCGCGAATCGCGAGTGGTTGCTGAGGCAGCTGCGCTGGCAAGTGCGTCGGTACGGTCGCATCTGGAGTCCTGGAGGTCGGCGGCGGGTTCTGCACCGAGACGAAGCCTTGCCGGACGTCGCGCTGTTGTTGTGCGTTCCATTGGGTTGTCGGAACCTGCGGGACACCCGACACGTCCTGCTGGACTCTTCCGCCACCGTAGTGCTGAGGCTGGCCGTACGCATTTGGGACTGTCGCGTACAATCCATGCTCGAATCCCTGACTCGTGGTGGGCTGCGCTACTGCCGGTGTTCTGACTACGCGGTTCGTTACCGGCCGGGCAGGATAGCCTAGTTCAGCAACGAGACGAAGAAGCTGCTCTGCGACGAAGTTGGGCGCTGGCTCAGCCCATGGGAACGGGTAGACTCCTTCGAGCATCCTCGCGACGCTCGGACAAGCGGGCTCGTTGTTGAACTTGTCGCCGAGCGCGGATTGTATCGTCTGGAGCTGCGCGTGGTTGAGGCAGGCATCATCTTCGTCGTCCGCACGAGGGCGTGCATGCTGTGGAGGGATGGAGTTGATGTCTCCCGTGGCGTCCGTCTCCGTGTCATCGCTGGACGGATCGTGTTGGAGTGCGTTCTCCGGCTGCGTCGCGTCGTTCATGGCCATAACGTGGACGAGGTGTACAAGAAGGAGCGACGCTTCATGACCGCCGTGGTTATATAGGCCACTGAAGCGCGATGTGGCGCATCATCTTTGTGCGAGAGGACAACGACGAGTGGTCAACGTGGTCATGAAAGTAGACTAGCTGGAAACAATCTGTGATTATAGCGAGGCATGCGTCACACCTTTCCTGCAGCTGTATCTCTCGGAGCAGGTCTTCAATGTGTCCGTACAGCCGGGATTGTCTGGATGTTCGCGGAGTCCAAGGTTTGGCGTGAGACATTTCAGTGCGTTGGCCGCTCTTCCCCATGTGAAGTGAGAACCACAAATGAGAACGGAACTCAGAGATATATACGTTTGCAAATCAGAGTTCACGTTATCTTGTGCGCTGGATACCTGAGATGAATCTAGCCGAAGTCCAGCCTGCATGCGACACACTACAGATGCTCTGCTCACGCGGACAATATCTAAACAGAACGGCTCTAGCTCTGCATTTTAGAAGGCTGAAGGACAAACGTATGGTGGGATCTAAAAGGACGGGCAAAGGGATTCGCATTCACAACAGGCCTTCCGGTGCGGGGAATCGAACCTCGGACATCAGTCGGACATCTCCTTGTCCGGGGTTCGATTCCCCGCAGCGGAACACACTCGTAGGGTATGTAGTGAAGACGATCAAGCTGGTATCACTACATGGCTGGACGAATGGTACATAATCACCATGGAAGGTGTCGTATAAACTTCTGAGCGCGGGAGGTGGGTCGAACCGTCGAAGGGATGATTCTATTTAGACACCCGGGTTTCTTGGGGATTCTACAAACTCCATGGCTTAGCTTGTGAAGCAACCTAACTGAGCAAACATCACAGCTGGTCGCACAAGGTCTGATGTGTTGGAATCTACCTTCCGAGTTTCGGGAGTTCGGTAGTGAACTCCCGAGGTGCAGCGCTGTCTTACTCCCGAGCCACACACCATCATTGCTCAGGGGACCGGGTCTCTGGGGAGATGCATCTTCTGGTATCCGTTGCTCCGACAGTAACTGAAGCGTCATTGTCCAAGCAAGTAGTCCGAACGATGTCGCCACTGACCAGCAGCTTGGCCAGTGCAATTGTGAAAGAAGGTTTGGCAGACGTCAGAGAAAGCACTGCAGTTCTGCAAGGCTTGCAGATACGGGGACCCTCCATGAGATCCAAAAGAACCCTGTTCCTTTGGCTGATCCGGGTCAAGATAGGCTCTGCATTCTTCATCGGAGCTCAAATGTGGGGCACATGCCAGCCGGCAATTGCCTCAAACTCGCGAAAACACACCAGAGTTCAGCGTTTTTACCCTCACAGACAGCAAAAAAGGAAGATGTAAGATAATCCAGTGTGACAAAAGGTATTCCGGTACGGGGAATCGAACCCCGGCCAATTGTGTGAGAGACAACTATCCTAGCCACTAGACCATGCCGGACTTGGAGGTACCTCGACCACAAAGTATATAACCCACTTGCGCCGGCGTACAATAAGTCGTCAGTTACAGACACATTGGCTCCCACTTGTAAGGCGTCTTCTTCCCGTGATGGGTCTAAGCACCGTTGCCCAGGAACTGAGCAGGCGACGCTGAGTACGCCAGTTTGTAGTGCGCTCCGATCCGTCTGACCATACTTCTCGCCGCATTACGGAGACGCAAATTCTGTGCACCCAAGTGTGCACCGTTCTGTATCTGTCCGACCTGGTCCAGGCGCATCGACATACGAGGACCGTCCTACGACGCTCTCCCAGAGACGGCGGGTCTTCGAGTTCTGACCATAATACTCGCAGCCTGTTTTGACTACCAACCACGATGACCCAGGCGGCGGTCAGCATCTCACTAGTCAATATCCCACGCTGTGCAATCTCCACTGTCCCACACCGAACTGCGCTACACATGCTCTTCGCTCTTCTACGACCATTGTTCCAGCTGCGGCGAATCGCGGCGCAAGGTCTCACGCTTGCGTTGACACGTCGCAGACTTCATACACCAGCACTTGCTCTCCCTGCGCGCCCATCGTCATCTAGACCGCCTCATCCTCTCTGGAATCTGAGAGGTAGTCGACGTAGATCTTCCCGACGCTTCGAACTACTTGTGCGAAGTTGTGCGCGAGGTGGAATTCGAGCCCGCTTTATGGAGCGAGAAAATTCAAGGTATTCTGCCCGGACAGTCTGCAGCTGGGGGCCCGTGCAGGAGATACGACCCATGTAGTTGCTTTGACGAAGACCCCAAAACGGAAGGGAATGCGACTCAAGCACTGTTGGCGTAGACCCTTTCAAATGAATTGGTGCGACCATTTGTGACGATGCTCGTTATTAGCTTGGTACAGACTCATACTGCCAGGTGCTCCTCGTCCTCCAGTCTCAGCCCCGCCTTCTCGAACTTGACCTTCAACTCCACATCATCCTCCGCATCCTCCAGGAACTCTCGTGCGATCTCAGCGGTCTCCGGCCCAGGGTGCCTCCAACCAAACCTCATCTCCCTCGTCACCATCTCGTCCAACCAGAAGCGTACCATCCGCGCCTGAGATGCGTTGTCGAGCTGCTCGCGCCAGTCGCGTAACGTGTCTGCGAGAAGCAGCTGAATCTCCGGCACGAGCTGCTTCAGCATCTCTCCCTCCGCGGGTCGTTGGGAGACGAATGGAGGCGATCCGAGGAGATAGAATGTTGGATTCTCGCGCAGGAACTCGATCTGTACTTCGTTCACGGTCCAGGTGCCCTTCTTCGTGGCGCGCTTGAAGATATTGTCGAAGGGTAGGAGGTGCTGTTCCTCCCATACGCGCAGACTTGTGGACATCGAGATGTACACCTGGATAGCCCCATCGGTGTCCGAGGCGCCGGCGAGGACGGCTGCATAGGTGCCGACGAAGCAGAACATGCGCACGTCGTGGTCGAAGAGATGCTGCGCGACGACCAGCGCGACTGCATCCAGCTTGTCTCGTTGTGTGGCCATGGACAGGTTATGCAATGCACTTCGCACTCAGCGCACTTTTCAATGCCGCGCGCAGCTCTTCACCCTGACCGGATCCCTGACCGCAATCCTGTGCCGCACAGCGGTGCACGTTCTCTATTGAGCAAGGGACGTACACAGCCAGAACGGTTTGACCCTCCCGGTGAGATGGATGTGGAGTGCGGGAAAAGAGGATGGGATGCTTTATCGACCGAGCTATAACGATAGACGAGGTGGATGTAACTATGCTTCAAGGTCCAATGTGTCCACGACAAAAGGGGGAAGAGACTAATCATCAAGGTGTGCTTAGAGCGCGAAGAACGCAGCGAGGAGCGCAACGGCCGCGACAGCAGCGCGCGACGAGACGATGGAGCCAGCACCATTCGTCTCGGGCGTCTGCGACGCTGCGGCTTGCTGCGCATCTGCGGCAGCGGTGGGGCCGGCGGGGGTCTCCGCGACGTTCTGCGCGGACGGGCTGCCCGCGTTAGCGTCGGCGAGGAGCGCGTTGACGTCCGCGGGGATCTTGACGTCCTTCTGCGGGTTGAAGATACCGTCGGCGTTGATCATGTCCTTGTTCTCAGCGATGACCGCGCGCGTGAAGAGGATGCTGCCTGCGATACCGGGCTGGAGCGACGGGTCGACGGAGCCGAGGTCGATGTTGTTGCCCCAGTTGAGCGCGGGGGTGCCAGCAGCGAGCGAGGACGTCGTGTTCCAGGCGGTCGCGATGTCGGCGTTCGAGGCAGCCCACTGCGGCATGAGAGCGGCGACGGTGGTCTTCGAGTTGGCGTCGCCGTTGGGAACGTTGATACCACCGAACATGCCTTGGGCGCAGTGCGTAGCGACGGAGCAGAAGAACCAGATCGGGTCGGTGTTCTCGATGACCTGGTCCATGGTGAAGCCCGCGGTTTGCTTGCCTGAGACGAAGCCGTTGATCGTAGCGTTGCACGGTGCGACACCCGAAGACTGCGTCACGGTGTGCTCGCCGTTAACCCAAGTGAAGCGGACGGTGTCACCAACGGCGGCCTGAACGAACGGCGGCACGAAGCGGAACACACTGTCAAAGGATGCCAAGACCGTTGTTAGCAGTTTGCTCGACGTGTGACAGCGGACAGGCGGTGCTTACCCCTTGACCGGCGCAACCATGACGTTCCACACCTGGCCCGACGAGGAAGCGTGGCTGCCAGACGAGCCAGACGAGACAGAGCCCTGGATGATGGGCTGCTGTTCAACAGACGGGAGCGTGACGGTCGTCGGCGGCGGCGGGTGCGACGCGAAGCAGGTCTGCACGCAGGTGTTGTAGTCGACCTGCCAGGTCGGGGTACCCGAGCCGTAGATGGGGTAGTTGTAGCCGTTGCCGGAGGACACCGGCGGGATGACCACAGGTGTCTCCGTCGCCATCACGCTCGACGAGGACGAGGTCGATGCGATAGTCTCGGCGGGAGGGACGGTGTCTGTCGCAGTCGGGAACTCGATGGAGTTGCCGAGCGACCCGCTCTGCTGAGGAACGTCGGTGTTGACACCACCAAGGTCGATGGTGCTCAGCGAGCCATCGGTAGAGGCTGCGCCGGCACCAGCTGGGTCAGCCGGAGCAGGGACAATGGGGGTGATGTCGCCGGAAGATGCGGCGGGGTCGACGACGACGGGCGTTATGTCGATACCGGCCGACGAGTCAGCGGGAGCGGCAACGACGGGCGTGATATCCTGACGCTTGTTGGCGGGGGCGGCGTTGGAGAGGCCGGAGAAGACGACGGCTGCGCCGAAAAGGGTGGATGCGATGCGGACCATGATGATGAATGGATTGAAGAGTCTCTTGGAAAGTTCTTGTCGAGGAAAGCTAAAGGGATGGACTTGACACTGTCGTCTAAACGGGTGCTGGGGACTGTCTCGCTGGGAGCAGTTGTAACTGCAGAGTACGGTCAACGTCTACAGCAGCCTCGCACGCGCATGCTCACCTTGATCAACAAAGCACGTAGGAAAAAGTCGGCTAGCCGACCTAGAGAAAGGAAGTTGAGTACGTCGCCAGGGATGCCGACCAAGGGCTTACGAAGGGAGTTGAAGGAACGAAAGGGAGGGCGTGTGGGCGAAAGGCGGGCAACAACGGGATGTCTCCGGCAGATTATATCTCGTTGCCTGTCGGAGTTCGACTTTCCGTCTCCATCGAAACATCCTCGCGTGCGCTGATGCCAACACCGATCAGGCAGAGCGATCTTCTTTCGTCGCCTCTTTGCACGCTCTTGGCTCTACTCTTCCACCAGGCACTCTACGAGGACACCCGACCGCAACCTGTTCCTTCCAATACCTTCCGCTCATCTTCCACAACCGCTGAGGAACGTGTAGCACTTGCTTCCGAAAGTCTTAGCGCTTGTCGTTGATCCCAACCAATCATCAAAGTTTACCACTGCCTTGGGCAGCTCCAGTCGCCCGGGTCGCCCGCGCGAATTCTGCGGCCGTTGCACTTTCTCAGGCACATGCGTCGTCTTATATGCGTCGCTATCGCGCGCAATGACCAGCACAACTCGTTCATATCTAGCAGACGGACGTTTCTTTGGACCACAACTCGTCAGCCGTGCTGCGTCGACGATCACGGTGATCATCCTGAACCCCTAAGCTCCTGCCAATGCCTGCTCTCCATCCAAGACTTCTGTGATGAGTCTCCTAGGCTTGTGCTGTGCTATACGCTGAAGGCCTTACGCCAACAGCATGATGACGATCCGCTCTTGCGACCGACGAGATTACCGACGTCTTCATAGTGCCGCATCGTACTGTCCGCTTCACGTTCTCATTCAGAATGTCCTATTGCAATTCCAGGATCATAAGCGTGCGCTATTCTTTACCCGGCTGCTGCATGAACCTGCGGTGCCACGGCGAGTATGAAAGTGGAGGTCACAGAGCGTAAACTGTCCCTCCTCTTCTATCATATCTATCCTTTAACTCTTCACGTCTCTAGCTCCCTCTATCAGTACTCTCTATTGTGTGTTTCTCTCTCTCTCTCTCTCTTTGCAGCTGCGAATTTACTTTCAGGAAACGCGGGGATGCGTGAGTTGGGTCCGTCACTGTCCATCAACTCCAGACCCAACGCCGAGCTTCCTCTCCCCGACCTCGCGTCTTCCCAGGTGCCAGGACTTCGGTGTCTCTGTGGCATACACAGCTGTCGCGAACGTCTAGTTTAACCTTTGTGCTATTCATGGACGCCGTCGCCGCCCACGGACTCAATACCTCGCATCGACCAGCCCGCCCACAGGTACCGCCACTACCGTTACGACTTCTTCCGGAGATACCTCCGTCCGTGGATGGTTGGGAATGGCGGTTGAAGATGGAGACAGGTGCTATTAGGTTACGGGAGACGCACCCTTAGGGCCTTATGAATCCTACGCTTTGAATTTGGCACTCGTCGGCGCTCCTACATTTATATTTCGCAACACTTGTGAGATATCTTTGTGAGCTCCAATGGACAAAGTCAGTTAGTCCTCCAGTATGCTGTCATACAGAGG